ATTTCCCACTGCTTTACTGGGTTGAATCACTGAACTGCTGTTGACAGATGAGCTTCTTTATGGGAGCAAAATCACTCACTGGGGTAAAGGTACATCTACCTGACCAGTGAGTCCCAAATAGGGTGTGACATGTGTCCTGGATTCCGCTGCTAACTACCAAGTGGACTACAATATAATGAATATTCGGGCAATATCGAGGCATCAAACAGCAACTGAGCAATTAGATCCAGTATAACCTCGGGAAATCACAAATGTCAATAAGCGACTATTAGGTCATGAGTTCAAATCAAACATCTCCCCACTTTTATTTTAATGACTGAATAGCACCGTAAACCTCACTACCTAAGATATGGTCCGTATCTTACTACACAAACCTATACGATCAGCTGAGTTGTTCCACAATGTCTTGTTTTAAGCTTTATTGCATTTAACGACGTAGAACCTCCATCTAAATGTATCGGTGGAAGTTACAAGACATCTCAATAGCATAGAAGATCAATAGAATTTTAAATTGGTAAGGTTAAGATTTTTGAAGGAGCATAGTTGAGTGTTGGTTCATCTGTGAACTTTAGATACAGAGTTCCTGCTTCTAGAGACGACTTAGACAAACACTCAGCTACCCCTTTTCTTATTTGTATCATAACTGAACTTAACTCGTGTGTGTGGTGCTTTTCTTGCTTCTGCTATATTAAAAATCAGGCACGTGGATGTGAGGTGATAATTGATACTACCAGCGTTAGGAGAACTATTTAATCATGGTTCCAGTCATGAAACATTGGAGCTCTTGAGAAGACCTATTTAATCTCTTTCGTTTGTATGGTAAATAGTGCAAAATCTGTGACTCCGGCAAGATATCCGACTATCTATCAAAGGACAAGTACACTGTGCTGCAGTTCGTTCTGTCCTGCTATGGAGCTGTGAGACATGGCTGTTAAAAGTAGAAGACATGAAGCAGTTGCAAGACTTTGGTCACAGATGTTTTCCTAGCGTTGCTCGCATTTGGTGGAATCACCTTGTAGGCAATGTTGAGGTCAGGTGAAGGGCGCTAAGCAGGAAAGGCAATTCTCTTGATAAGGTTATGAACCTTAGTCGACTGAGATGGCTTAAATATGTAGTATGCAGGTTGAGCGACCACCTGCCTCGGTGTGCCATACTATGGGAAGTCGTATTAGATTGGAGGAAGGTTCAGGGTGGCCAGAACAATACGTGGGACCAGTCGGTGAAGTCTCTGATTGTTGGTATGAGCTCTGTGGGAAGATGTAGACTGCTTGGCTGTGGTCCCCAAGACAATAGGACTGAGTGGTTGAGGACTGTTGGCGACATGACTGAGAGTTAGTCACAGTGGCGCAGGTGTATTCACCCTTTGATGTCTTTTAAAGCACTAACCTTTATCTTCAAATTGTTTCTTCTTCTACGCTACTTTATCTACTTTAATATCAATCTTTTCTAATCCACTTGTTCTCTGTATGATAATGTGAAGTGTAACAACTTGAAGAGATGCATTTATGTGCGAGGTTCTACGTTGATTTTGTTTGTCCGTCTGTGTGTGTCTATTTACTTTTCTCTAAGGAATGATATCGTCATCTGTTTTGTCTTAATTTTGAACTGCTTGGCAATGAGAACCCAAAACTAGATGCACTATAGAACCGAGAACTGTCGGATTTAGTGGCAAGCTGTATACCATTCAGGTTCTGTAACTTTTCCTCCACTCACTTCATTGGATCGTGTTGATTGATTTCTGTTGTTATATGTTCATCTTCAACGTTGCCAAGATTTTTATTTTGATGTCATCATTAATTTTAATCATATGTTACTCGTGCCTGGTCACCATCTATTTCGACGCATAGTGTTAGCTGGAGTAAGTTCAGGCTGGGAAATGGTTAGAAGCTACCGATTGCCGATTGTTGGTCTGAGTAGTTTAGAGTAATTTAGACTTCCAGTTGAGTTCCTCGTGACAACAAATCGGTAGTTGGTGACTCTAGGTCACATGGCTGAGAATCGGTTTAAGTGGCACAGATGTATCCACAACTTATCCTCATTCTTAACTTGATATGATATTTTGTTATTTTAACCCTTGTGTTTATGACGCTACAACTTCTAATTACGTTTATGCCTATTTGTTTCTCATCTTATCTCAATGTGCTGATATGTGGTGTGGCAACTTAGTCTGTTATGTAATGATATTATGGTCCGTGTTGATATTGACTAAGGAAATCTCGCATATACGTGTAGCCAACTTTATCCACCACACCAGCGCATAGTGAAGCACCGACAGTAAAATATATCTATAATCTAACCAGTAGTTGAACCGTCATTCACCTTCAAGTGGAGTTATGTTTTATTGGTCTGAGTAGTCGATTTCCAGCCAGTACGTCATATGTTTGAATCCTTCTGCTCCTACCAAGATCTGGACAGTCTGGTGGTAGTGCCATTAACCTTCACATAGTAGGCTTGACTTATTGATTCATGCGCGAACCTATATACGTTGTTGCTTAGTTACATTCTAGATAACGGCTGAATTATATATTCTACGAATTTTGTTCTATAGACATGAGTTGCCCTACCATTACTTTGATGAGTATCGGAGCTACACGCATTTTGCAGTTTGACCATCAAGCTAGAGAGCTCACGTTCGTGATGCGCTTTGATGGATGTTACTTGGTTGGAGACAGTCGGAAGGAAAACCTGCTCCACCTAGATTTCGTACTTGTTGGCACTTATCATCAAGGCGTATCCCCAACCTCTAATGAACTGATGTCCCCTCTGAGATTCAAACCTATGTTACACAGTGGTTGCAGTCAGCGAAGTCCATGCGTACAATGCATGAATTCTGACCAGTCATATGGTGGAGTATAAGCTATCTGGCTGTTCTTCGAGATGCTACGAAATAGGAACTTTAGAAAGCTGACGAAGTTTGTTCACGTCAATCACTACACTGTAAATATATTCTCTTCGTATCCTCCAAATTCTGAACGTTGATTTCAATGAGTCCAGTCTCAGGCTCGTACTGTGCAATCCCAACCATGTAATTTATTCATTAGTTCCCTTTGCATGGTTTGGTAAGCAAAGAAGTCAGAAATTTAGTTGGGTTTTTTGCAACCTAGATTGATACACTCATGTCCATTTCTATACTGCCTTTTGGTTGGACCTGAGGCTCATTTGACTTTCAACCGAAGAGTCACGGGTTCGAACCCCGCTTCGCCTATCGAGGTCTGGGCAGCCAGGTAGTATCGTCAATAGCCCTAACACAATGGGTGTGGCTCATTACCGACTGCACGAATGTGCATAAGGTCACAGAGCATTTCATTCATTCATGCTCCTTCTTGTGTCAACCCAATTTCCATAGTTTTTGTATGGTCATTCGAAATCTAAACATCGAAATGAATTCTAATGTTTTTCACGTTTTGTTTATTTTTGAACAATATGATTGACTACTATTATCTCTAGTATCATAAGCCCTTATGTTGTGTAAACACACCATGACGTGAATTTCAGCATCATTTATCTATCAGTTAGTTCAAGTCAGTGTGTGTGTGTTGGCTAATGTGATGTTATTTCACTAGTTTGTTTGTTTACCTTATCAGGTTTAAAATTTTATCCCACCTTCGAACTATGTGTTTTGAACCGTGTTGGTAAGTGTAGACTTTCCGGTTGAAGTTTGCAATGCATAGTCAGGCTAGGCGAGGACGCTCACAAAATACTGGGTCTTTTGACCACTGCGCGAAAACCTGAATATACTTGGTATATGTGTGTTTATTTCGTATTTGTCACATGTAAGATGACGCTTTAGAATTTGGTTTTCCAAATCCTTAGTTTATGAATACAGAGTGGAGTGGTTAAATGTATTAACCAATTCATGTCCTTATGGAGCCACATCAGCCACTGATGGGTTGATTGGTGATGAAATCTGAGGACGAACGTACAAGGTCTGCTTCATACTTGTAATATATTTGACTAAATATCAAAAGATGAGTCTACTTCACAGTAGTTAGCTCTACGATTGAGACGTAGTCGTAGGAGGTGGAAGACTTCAGGACATTTCAGATTTTCGATCGTAGATTTCCATTGCTGACATGGTGTGAAATCACAAAGTAAGCAGTGTTGATATTATGTGTAGAACACTAGTTGAGGAAGGTAAGTCAGTTGATAATCTTAAAACCTACGCGAGATTCTACGTTAGTTCGCTTCGTTTTGTCCACTTGCAGAAGACTTCAAGTGACATGTTTTGAAGTCGATCTTATGCACATTGTACTATGTGTTGTTTATACTTGTCTGTCTGTCTGTCTTCGTACAATAGTTTAAATTATCAGTTGCTGATGCACTTGTCTGTCTATCCAGTCTTCAGTCCATCATTGTTATATCTGCTTTGTACTTTATTGATCTTAGCTTAAACTCGTGTACCTTTCTCACTTAATTAATCTCTCCCTTCTTATTCATTCGAATAATTGAATTGTATTTTAGCAGTAATTTTGTTGAGATTCTCAGATGCGATTAATTCGGGACGCGGAATCTAGTTAACTGGCCGTTTGGCATGAAACCTGGCAACTGACGCAAGACGAAGAAAATGTTGGACTGAAACGAGTTTACTGCAATCGAAGCATGAAGGGATATAACTCTTGCGTTTATACACCATGCATGCGCCTTTCAGGTGAATAGACAATAGCATATTAAAACTGGGAAATCGACCAATAGGAAAACAGCATCCTTAAAAGCGGTAAAATTGAACAATACACATGGAGCGGAAAAAGGCGCGAAAAGATAATGTGAATTTTTCATAAGATAAATTAATAAAATTTAAACACAAAACGTTCATTTTTGGAGATATCTCCAACAAATGTTCTAGATGACACTTGCTTTGATGTGGATAACAGGACAGTACCTTTGTAGTAGTATATTAACCCTTGCCTTCATCGTGCATCGAACTGTTTCTCACGTGAATTTTCTATCTTTAATTATCTTTTAACCTCTTCACCCTGTTTTTTGTTTAAAACCAATTGTAGGAGAGTTTGTCGGCTCGCGTAAGTTCCCGACTGTATGCTGATTCATCCACGTCTACTGTGGATAGCGCTACCTTGACCGAACCGAATTTACTTGGTCCTTGTGAACCTGGCACAAAAATTGTTGTAGAAGGCGTAGTATGGCTGGAAGCCACTGGTGAGTTATATGTTTGAGGAGCTGTATTGTCTACTCTATGCGTATTCATGATTAGATGTCTATTGGTGTTATTATAAACACGTTTACAGCCAACATTATGTCCGCTTCTCTGAAAGAATATTCGAAAGATTCTCCACAATTCTCCTTCGTTTTGCATACGAATTATCCAAGGGAATAAACTTTTTAAGCGTTTGATTTCACCGAGAACAGGTACTGAATCATTCCTGTTGCATGTATTAGGAGTTGATTCGATAAGCAAATATTCAGTTATCAGTATCTCCCTGCACCCCAGTAGATTAGCTTTCAAGGATTGTCACTCTGTTCCATCTTATTGTGTGGTTGTGTGTAGTTGTATGCGTAGAAATGGTCGAGCTTTCCTCCAGATTCATTATCTCACTAACTGGAACTGAATTGGCCAACTACTTTGACCTTTGTATTTCACCTCTTAATCGTCGCAAGGGATTTGGTGAGCTAAACTATTCTGCATAATGAGATCAATATGATCTTGAAATCTACAAGAATTATTTCCAAATGAGTTTGTAGGTTTAAAGACTATCTTAACCCTAGCCTTATGTAATGTCTTTGAGGTGCTTTCATCACACAAGTTTTGCTAACAATTTATTGGCATTTGTGAAGGCTTTTGTAACAAGTACCTTCACCGAACTACCTAAGCCTTCATAAAAGACGCTTTATGAGCTCTTTCAACTTTCCACCCACCTTATTCAATGGTTATCTCATGTTATTTTGGCTTATTTTAAACAGTTATATGAGTGATAACTTGTCTTCTAGAAGTTTTGCATCAATGGCCAATATATTGCGGGTTCGAGTCCCACTTCACTCCTACCCGGGTAGTGGGATTGTATCATAAGGCCTTAGGCACTATGGTAGAATTTAGTTACATATTAGATTTGTTTATTTGAAACATGGCCCACAATGATACAGTATTGCTTACTTGATGAAGTTTTAAGCATAAATTATTACTCATAATCATATCATAAACACACAGCTTTCGACTGCCTATTTTTATAGCCTTATCATCTGATATCCTTTGGTTTTAGTGGTAACAAGATTTTCCACACCTCTGGTATAGGTGTAGCATCATTTCTCTTATATGACTTACATATAGAAGGGGATGAAAAAATGGTTAGTTTCCATGTAGCGAGCCTTTATTGCAGCTAACATGCCGCTGAAGGCAGTCGGAAATCAAATAAATACTGACTTAAAGCTTACTCAGAGAACCAAGGTAGGTATTTATCAACGAGATCATGTCAGGCATATATATGTGCCTGAGCTACGCGTTCATCACGTTTCAGGATAAAATATATTCATAAACAGAAAGAGTAGCAATGAGATCATCAATATTCCCGATCGTAGCAGATATATTTATGGATAGTTGGGGAAATATGGCTTTACAAGTTCTTAATCCTACTCCCAAGATATGTTGGTGATATGTGGATAACACATTTTATTATTATTATTTGTCCCTTGGGTTCCTAATGGAACATAGGGCTTCAGTAGCATGTCTCCAATGCGCTCTGTTCTCTGAAATCTTTTGAACTTGGCTCCACGACAGCTCAGAAGCTCTCATTTCCTCCTCACTCGATCTCCTCCATGTCACCCTCGGATGCCCAACTCGTCGCTTCCCATCGGGGTTCCACATTTACTGTGTTGAAATCGAAACATTCCGACAGTTTCTTTACAAATATAAGCTGAGTGGCAGGTGCGATCCACTTCCCTTACTCGATAAAAAATTAACAAGGATAATTGGCTGTGAACTCCTTTCTATTTGTGTTGTCGTTGTTATTCGTATTCGTGTTACTGTTACTTTTGGTTCCTGGTGTCTATTGACCCAGAACTTACAGAACTAAGATATCGGTTGATGAGATCATGTTAAGCATACAGTTGTGCTTGACCTCCACAATCTTCAAATTTCAGGACAAAATATACCGACAAACAGAAGGAGTATCAATGGGATCGCCAACATCCCCAAACGTAGCAGATATATTTATGGATAGTTTAGTCCTGCACCAAAAATATAGTGGTGATGTGTGAATGACACATTTACTGTGTTGAAATCGGAACATATCGACAATTTCCTCATACATATAAACTCAGTAATAGGTGCAATCCATTTCACTTAGGAGGTAGAAAATGAACAAGGAGAATTACCTATGTTGGATTGCAGAGTAAAACGAAGAGCTTATATACTACTGTCTACCGGAAACTGACACATTCTAACAGGTATCTAGACTCCAGGTAATCTCATCCAATGTCAGTTAAGGCAGGTTTAGTCAAATGTCTAAATGACAGAGCTAGGCAACTTAGTAGTCAGTGGAAAGACTTCACCAAAGAAATGAAATACACAAAAGAAGCATTACTAATTTGTGATTACCGTCTCTAGTTTATTAAGAAATTTGTGCGAACACATAAGAGATGAAATAATAACAGTAATATGAGTACGAATAATAAAGACAACATGAGTAGAAAGGAGTCCACAGCCTCAATTATGTCACCCTATAAGAAAGGCACATCAGAAAGTTTACGTAGGATCCTCAACAAAACTGGGATTAGGGTGACATTTAAATCTACAAACTCACTCCGAGATAAGTTTTGTCAGCTGGCTTTAGTATCCGATAGAACCAATTCGGCAAAATAATCTAATTTACCAGGAAGAAGAACTTAGCTATTGTAGTTCATGGATTGACACGCAACCACACAGTAGGGTGAGATAAAACCGCTGTGTTCATGTCCAATGTAGTTGGACGGAGAGAGATTCATTAGCGAATTTTCGTTCATTGAGTCAACACCCAACGCATGTAGTAGGGATGATATAACACTCAGACCGGAGATGTGGGCTCTTTTACTAGCAATAAAACAAAGAATACAAGGTGATAAAGCTATAAAAGTCAGTTGTGAAAAGTTCTAAGTGATCACATTGATAGGATCATGAGCAATGATAATTCATGCTTCAAGCGTCATTCAGTAAATAATACTATCTCACACTATATGCTATATCAAATTGGTGAACTTCTTCTTCAGTATTTCAGTCAAGGAGTCATTCAATTCCTATTTTCCTCGTTATTCGCTTTCTATTTCTTAGTCTTCCTGTGTTTTTTATGATCCGAAGGCTACTTTTACTGATCAAAATCGCTGTTTCGTATCGTTACTCTTCCTCATCGACGTCTGTTGTTGTTATGGCAACCTTCTGTTGGATGTAATGCGATAGTGATGTTCTGAATGCACGTTTTGTTCTATTTCTGGCTTATCATTTGGCCCCTGATTCTTATGTCTTTCCTTTTGCTTAAAGTCGATCTGTAGCTTATTGGTCGAAATATTTGACTTTCGATCGGTGGGTCATAGGTTCAGACTCCGCTTCACCCACCGAGGTCTGGATAATAACCAGTTTATGTCATCACCGCTCATACAACAGATGTGGCTCATTACTTACTGCATAAATGTGTATCTCTCTCCTATCTTAGACTCGAATTTGACATTTATCGTTTCAAGCGACACAGTACCGTTGTTCACTCTAAGCGACTGGTAAATTTTCTCTGAGTGGTTTATCTTACACACTTTGGTGAACGTGAATAACATTTAGACAGGATACAAGATTGCATCATTCCATTCCACAGGATTTTCTGCAACTGCATATAATGTGGATATTCATGAAACGACATTTCAATTCACAGTACGTGATTATGTGACCGCTCTTAATCACGTCTAATCTTATCTCATTGATTTACGAACATTTCCCACCTTTCCCTTATGTATGTCTCCAGTTTGACTGGACTTTAGCTTTCTTTGTATGATGAATTGAAGTAGTTTTTTTTCTTTGACTATCCAAACATTAGCCAACTTCTGAAGACCCTACTCATACAGTATATTAAAATGTGTTACAGGGATTCCCGTGCTAGTCCCTATCTATCATAAATATCAAAATGGAAATAACCGCTAATATCGAGGCATCCGCACTGGAGCCCGTATGTCAACAGTGGCCTATCATTTCAGTCCAGTCAAGGACGGAGATTATCAAGCTATACCGTCCGTAACGACTCAGTGACCTAGTGGATAACGGTCTGGTGTCTGAAGCCATCGACCCTGGGTTCGAGTGCATCCAGCTGACGAGTCACGGACATGAGGAAATGCATGTCCTAGATCCCACTGTTAGTCACTATCTATCATTGATATCAAAACTATCTACCCAGTTAATCAGGTTGTATGTGGCTGATGAAGATCCTATAAAATAAAATAACACTTGTTAGCAGGCTGTTGAACTGCAGACTAGTCGTTGCTTGAAAGTCAGATGATGTCTGTTTCTACGTATAAGTGACTGCCGAAATCCACTAGGTAACTCCTAGCTGTTATTCCTGGTCTTGTTAAGGTGTTCACTCTGATGGTTGTTACTGCATATACGTGCTGTAGTCAGTGGGTATGGATTTCAGTCCTTCAATATCATGCAGTTTTCCCGATCATTAATCTAATGGTGCAGCTAACACATACAGAAATTCAGTAAAATCAGACTGACCGTGAAGGCCATATCAGTAACCGTTGAAATAACTATTTTTTTCCTTAAAGTAGCGGAACCTTATTGATTATTTCAGCAGTTCCTTTAATGGCCTATAGAGAGCCACATCATTTAAGTTGTCATTACAAATTTGTGCTATCTTGCTACAATAAAAGCAACGTTTTCCCTTCTAGTAATATGTACTACTTAAATTTTGCATTATTTTTTTACTTTTAGGAATGCTTGTTCTCAGTCTCCACTGGCGTGGACGTAACTATATGGGCACTTTATTAGACTCATCAAAGCAGACATTTGGTCCTACTTGGTAAGTTCTCACCAGTCTTACTCAGTTATTAGTTATTAATACTTTTGTGCCGTAAAATGTACACGGATGAATGCTAGTATGTAACTTTCCACCAATGTGCACCCATGACCCGACGAGAGATCCAACCCCAGGACCTTTAGGTCTTACAGTAAGTACGTTACCATTCACAGTCCAGTGGCTCACTTGTTCCTTTTTCTGTCAGTTCACGCACGACATAGCGTGATTATTCAAGGCTACCCGTGGGCATTCACTTCACCTTCGACTTGGTTGATGCCTCAGGCCACGGACTGAAGAGTTTCACTAGTGAGCATTGATTGAAGTAACAAACTATGATGAACGTAGTGACTGAATGTTGACCCCCTCGCCGTGAAACCTGAGGATCATGGTCACGCACTGCTGAGAAGCCCCACACCAGGACAAAACAGCTATTCATCACTCCCAGATCTTCAATAACTCTCCAACTGATATCGGTCTATGATGAATACTAACCTTGAAATAAATAAATTCCCCTGATTCTCAAACTAAACTAGTACGATTACTACTTGAAGTCCAGTAAGCATTTGCCCAACACTCTTCACTCTGTTCCAGATAAATGTTCAAAACGCTTTAATTCCTCATGGAAACTATGTAATTGTTTGTTTAACGTGAATATCTTCTAATCGATAAATCCAATGATCCTCAGTGGACTGTTTACCAGTTTCACTGAAGATTACTCACCAGGAACACTGTAATACTATCTTGGTATGAGTTTCACAAACTCCTAATTTCAGTTAGGGCTTGTTGAGTCGAGTGTTCAACTCTCACACTGAAATCTGATCCTAGCAATTTTCGGCTTGACCAGTCTACCATCAGCCATGACATTCCTGATTGTAGTGGACTGGATCATGCAACAAACAGTGAGGAGCGAGAAGAGATGCATACGCTAGACCGATGAAAAGAACCTAGAAGATTTAGATTTTGCCGATAACTTATGTCTAATGTCAAACAAACTTGAAGATCTACAGGCGAAAACTAACAAGTTGACAGAAGAGGCGAGGCATTGAAGACGGGACTTCAAGTGAACGTAGGGAAGATGGAGTTGATGATGATGCCCAACCAACAACAGCAACAACAAGCTCTAATCACCATCAACGTGAGAAACCTAAAGGAAGTAGTCTCTTTCACCTATCTAAGCAGCACTGTTTCAACCCCAGGCGGCGGCACAAACGAGGACGTCAAAGCCAACCAGGACGGGAAAAGCAAGACAGGTGTTCATTAGCCTGAAACCAGTATGGAGATCTGCACTCCACTCAGCATAAAGCGTGAACAACATCCGGATTTTCAACACTAATTCACTCAAGTAAGTCAGTGCTTCCATGTTATAGTTGACAGACTTGGCGCGTTACGAAAGGCATTTCGAAGAAACTACAGACATTCATCAACAACTGCCTACGCTGACTCGATACTGAAGATGGATCAGATGGATGGCCAGAATAATAAGAATAAACAACAAGGAACTCTGTCTGGTGACGAACCAACGAAGCAAGAACCTATCGCTCAAGAAATATGGAGAGGAAGAGAGTAGAGATGGATTGGAGTGAGCATACACTAAGAAGGCCGACTAGGGCCATCATGCTCCAGGCCAGTTGTTCGAGTGGAAGCCAGAGGGGAGACGACGAGTTGGGCATCCGAGGCGAGGGTGACATGGAGGGAGATGGTGTGAGGAATAAATGAGAGCTTGTGGGTAGTCGTGGAGCCAGGTTGAAAAGTTTGCAGAGAAGAGAGTGTGCTGGAGGGATGCTATTGAAGCGCTATGTTCCATTAGGAACCCAAGGGACAAATAATAATCACCACAGTGAGATTCATCATAGCTTTCATTGCCCTCTGTTTGAAGGGATTTCAAATGTTTAAGGTCAACTTAGACTTATTAATAGGGTATTGTTTCCAGCGTATTTGATATTGTCTTATTCATTTGTATGGTATTCATCTGATTTAACTTTACAAATTTTGCATTGAAGCGACGAGAGTTTGAATTGATTAGTAACAGTAATTACTTTACCACTTTTATTTATTTCTCTAGCATGGATAAAGGTGTTGCCAGTGCATTGAATCTCTTACGTGGAAGAAAATCTTGGTGTGATTCATCACAACGAGGTTATCAAGCTCGTGGTATTCATCATTTCCATCATATGAGACATCATCGTCGTGGTGGTGGGCATGGTGCAGGTATATCAATGACTACTCGGTCAGCTTCAGCAGCAGCTGCCGCAACATCACAAGACTCAACAGAGGGTGAGGTAGATTCCAAAGAACAATCTGTTGTTCATGATCCCTATTCAACTGAATGTATCGACCAACCTTATGTGCCTTTGGATATAGGTTATAGCAAACGATCTGCTCCTCTTCCTCCTCCTCCAACTGATATTCCTAAACGTGGAGCCAAAGGACGTAGACGTCGTGGTGCTGGTCGAAGACAAATTCGTCCAGTTAACGTGTTATCCCCTCCCAATGAAAGCTCTGTAACTCCCGGATCTGAAATTAGACAAGCGTCCACTGATGATGTAGAAAGCCGTCGAACTCCCTTGACGGACAATGGAACTACGAATTCTGATTCAAATCTGCCAATAAGTTGTCCATTTACCGATTGTAAAAAACGTTTCGCTGATATTCTTAGCATGCGTTATCATTTTACTTTGGGACACAGCGCTCAAACCATGGAAATGAAAAACGCTCACAGCTCAGTTATTGTTCAGTCTCTTGGTAAAAAGGTTAATTCGATGAAAAATGCAGATAATGGCGATGATGATGACGATGATCAACTTGAAATATCTGTTTGTGATATATCCGCCAGCTCATCTCCCCCACCAAAGTTGGCAAGAGCTCATGGCGTTAAGGATAGAAGCAGTGATAGCAATGACACAAGTTTAGTTTTGATCAACGGTGATGATATGGATGATAATATTGACCCACCAAAACTTCATCGTATTGTATCGATACCTGATTCATTTTGTGGTGTTCATCCAACTGGTGTTGGTGGTGATGGTGATTCAAGTCCATCATCAAAGTTTGAGGGTAATCATCATACGCTAGTGGATGATATTCCGGATGAACCTCCTGCTGCAAGTCCCGCATATTCAGATATTTCCGACGACGGTACTGTATCGTCATCTACAACTAATATCCCAACTTTAAATATGGCTGCAGTAACAGTCAATGTGCAAACGTCTCGGGAGACACTATTGAATTCCCCATCTATCCTATCGTCAAATCTCTCCAACCAACCATCCATATCTCAAGGGTATATTGATGTTTCAAGACGTCTAAATCTCTCCCCGCTTATTCTCTCTGCTTGTTCACCGACGATTCTGGGTGCTGGTGAACCAGGCAAATTATATCTTCCTGCCAATTTGTTCCCTTCAAATTTGAAAGGTGTCGGCAGTATTTTTTATCAAACTACCTCACCAACAGTCAAGTGTATAGATAAGCAGAACACAGAGAATGGCTTGAAATCGACAGTAAACAATTCTCCAATCACATTTGCTTTACAACAAAAAGAGTCTCCGTCTAGACCCCTAATTACTAACAATAACTGTTATAATGGTGGGGTTAGCACTTGCAGTAGTAATTCATTACACAATTTATCAGGTTCTCAGTCTTCTTCATTATCTACGAATGGCACTTCTTTGCTTCCTCCATCCAATCAAAACAATCCTCGGCCATTAACATTCCTCTCTGTTTCACCTGGATTAATGACTGAACAGAATACACGTCCATCATCAACAGGACCATTTTTATCCAATCCGCCTGTCACCTTTTGTGTTTCCCGAAATTCTCCAATTCCACCAATACCCGGTAAGTTTTAATTAATTATTCAACCTTTAACAGAACATCCATTCACTCGCACACATACACACATACACCCTGAGTAATTCGTGTATATCGGCCTGCATATCTATCGACCCAGTAATGTTGTACATCATTGGTCAAAGGATCCAACTAAGGGTCGGTTAATGGCTCTCCTACCCTCAACTGGATCCCAGTCATCTTCATGCTGCCTTCCATAAACCAAATAGTCACCATGGCATCTTGGATAAGCAACCACATGCACAATCGTGCAGTAGGCAGTGAACCACATCTATTGCGTAAGAGCTAATGATGTTACCTGGAGACCTCAGAAGATGTGGTTGGGTTTAAATGCGTGATCTAATGGTTCGAAAACTGGTACCTAAAGCAGTAAACCACAGTTTCGAAAGGTGTCTTAACTCACGGTATGTCCCGATTTGATTTGACTGAACAGAGTCGAACTTACAGAACTCAAAACTAAAGTGAATCTTAATGTAATCGATAGATTTCGTTCCTGCTTACTGCCTGCAGTATGATCAGTTTTATTTTTTGTTCAGTGATTATATATATGCATACAGTGAATAACCACTTAACGCTTGTCCTCACCTTTTCGCATGTCTTTTTACTCAGTATGAGTACACAGACGATACTGTACTGCCAGGTGAAGACACTGACAAGATTCAGGGTCTTCTGAACGCATCGGGCAGAAATCTGTGTATATTTGGCATGCGTGTCGCTGTCACCTGTCAAATGTAAGCTGATGCTCCACGATTGGTCTGCAACTATTCCTAGTTTCAGGATATAGAGTGGACTGGTGAAATGCGTTGACCACTCCACTTACACTCGGAGTTGCGTCGACTCGAAGCAGCTGCTTGTTGACGGAATCTCAGTTCGAATACATGAGGCTCGTTCGGTATTTGCCAATTTGCATCATCTTTGGGGTGAATTGGTGAGATATCCGAGTATCTATTAAAGGATGGATATACTACGCTGTACTGCGTTTTGTCCTGTTTTACGGCTGCGAGACATGACCGCTGAAAGTAGAAGATATGAAATAGTTACAGGGGTTTGATCATAGGTGTCTTCGTAGCGTTGCTCGTGTTTGCTGGAATCACCGTGTGGGCAATGTTGTGGTCAGGTGAAGGGTACTAGGCAAGCCAGACAATTCGGTCGATGAGGTTGTGAAGCTTCAGTGACTGAGATAACTTAAACATGCGTTGCACATATCGAACCACCTCCAATCCCGATGTGCAATGTTAGTCAAAGTGGGATTGAGTTGGAACACGGGTGAGGGTGGATAGAACGAAGCGTGCTACCAGTTCATTAAGTCTCTGACTTTTGGTCTTTGTTGTGTAGGGAGGTGTACACTACTACTAACTGGCTTGTATTGTTGAGACGATAGCAATGAGTATATCAATGATAGGTAGTGGTTGGCAGTGGAATCCAGGGCGCGCGTTTCGCCCTATTTGGGACTTTGGCTGGCTGTGCCTGCCTCCCAGTGAGTGTTGTTCCCACTGGGACTCGAACTCATGATCAACTGCTCCAAACTTCAGAGCGTTATCCACTAGACCACCAAGCCACGGTAGCCACTTCTTGTGCGACGGGTATAGTTTTAGTGTTTTTGCCTCGATATAAATACACTCACACAGGAGCCCACATGCCAATAGAGACGGATCACTTCGGTCCAATCAACGACAGGATAGTACAAGCAATACCAATGAGTGATGACATGGATAAGAATTGGTCATAGTGGCGCAGTTGTATTCAGTGTTTGATGTCTTCTAAAGCTCCAGTGTTTGCACTAACCTTTTTCTTCAAATTTTCTTTCCTCCTTTACAGCTTTGTTTACTTTGATTTCATTCTCTTTCCATCTACTTGTTCTTCGTTTACTACTGTGAAGTGTGGCAACTTGAACCGATGCAGTTGTTTGTGAGGTCGTAGGTGGATTTGATTCGTCTGTCTGATCATTGTTGTTGAATGTAAGAAAAATAATGAAGATGGCGCTTGCGCTAGTTTATGTACTGAAGATCGTTTACTCTTCCCGTTTTTAGTTTACTGTTGAAGGAATAGGATGAAGATTTTAAGACGAAAAAACTTCCCCTTTAGTTCTAAGTGTAGTTTTTATTCTATATACTGCAGTATCACATACCCCATTGAAGTGAGGTATAAAACTTTGAAACTTCAAGCTGGTATGCCTAATTGACCTCACTTGTTGAAATAGAGGGTTTACTTTATCCAGACATGTCTCCTCTACACTGTATTCCTACTGGATTGCGGCAGTAATCAGAGGGGGGGGAGAGAACGTCTTTCAGTCTTATTTCGTAATTATCAGATTTGCAGTCATAGGATGGGACTGCGTACACGATGTTGTTCCTCACCTTTTCTACAGTGCATGAGTAGCGTGATTGTCCAGTGAGTGCTGGGGACTAGTCTGTATCTCTGCATGGGTAGTTTTACTTTTCAAATATTGATCTTATGAACATGGGTCAACCTAGTTCAAATATTTTTGTACTAGGCTATGAACCGCAGGACTAGAATACGCAGATGACCTTGACAAAATGCAGAGTCTTCTTGACATATTGAGTGGTAATTTGAGTATGGTTGAGGTACATTTCCCGCCACCCAAATGCAAATTGTTGCTCTATTACTGGTCTTCAGCGGTGCTGCGGTTAATAGTAATGAGTGAAATAATTGAGTGCTCTGAACACTTCACTTACCTAGGAAATCGGATCAACTCTGGTGCCTTGGTCAATGGCCGACGAAGTCTTTGCACAGATACAAAAGGCTCAGTTGACTTTCATCAGGTCACACCATCTCATGCGCCACCATAATATTCAGTTGTCTATTACGGGTCGACTGTAGTGTGCTGCAGTTCGCTCTGTTCTACTGTATGGCTATGGAACATCGTCATTAAATGTGTTTGACCATCGCTGCCTTCGTTGCATAAGTCGTGATTCGTGGTTTCATCACGTGAGTAACGCAGAAGTCAGGTGTCGGAGGAGAGGAAAGTCAGGTGATAAGGTTGTGAATCTTCATTGACTGAGATAGTAGGTTGGGACTGTGTTGCACATGCCTCGTTGCGCAAAGTTGGCTGAATTATGTTGAGGCTGGGAGAAGGCTTAGAGCGGTATGACTAAAACATGGCATCACTGCATGAAATCTCAGACGGTTGGTTTGACCCATATAAAGAAATGCAGAATTCCCGGTTGTGGCGCATGTAACAACAGAGGCCAGTGGTTGGAGACTGTAAACGATACGGTCCAATATGTTAGATGTATCCTGACCGTCAAACTGAATTTAAGTATCCCCTCATTCTTCCTTGCTCTCTTTTGATGTCTTTACAACTTCCGACTGTTTTCGTCCTTATTTCTTGATCTTTCATCTTGGCGTGCTTGTCATGCTGATATGAGATGTGGTAACTTGTACGGGTAAAGTCCTGAGTTGATTTCCTGTCCTTTCATCTTAGTGCATTCTCTCTTCTTGTGTTGACATGAGGTGTAACACGGAACGTTACGCTGTAATACTGTGTTGATTTTATCTCCCTGTCTACCTACTACATACAGTTGGTAAGTGGATGTTTCGAAATGCAGAACATATTGTCCAATCAGCTCACTTGGTGTCTGTTCTCCATCCTTATCAATTTGATCGATTTCACTGACCGTTTCAATCAATTATCACATCCTAAGATCATTTCTCCTCATTGAAACCTTTTTTCATTGTCTTTTCTCTGTCTCTCCACAGGTGTATCTGATCAAAGGATATTGTCACCGCATAATACTAACCACTATCCCCAGTATCAGCCTTCCACAATGACTAAGCCTTGTGAATAAACAGCACTAACAGCAGTGTGTACACATGTGCATATTTATTTCTCTTTTCCCCTTGAAAACAGATGTATATTTTACCTTGTACAATAGATACATTACATTATGCTACTAGTATTGGTGGTGATTACAGTTGATGAATACTCCCCTCTAACCCAATGATTGATTGTATAACCCCCTGAAAACAAACAATCAGAGTTGTTATTTCTGTGCTCATGTAATTTGTATTTTTTACTACTCACCACATCATCATCATATACAAACACATTACTTTCAGTATTCAGACATACTTCTGTCTCGTCTTCGCCTCCCTGCCTCTTCCATTTCTTGACTCTTACCCCATTATTTTCCGTTCCTCCCACCTTTTTATTTGCCTGATCTTTTTGCACACTAAGAGAATCTGTTCAAAGTAATCAATTGCTTAGTCAAATGGTGTTGATCGTGTACTCCCTGTTTGTGCGTGTGTGTGTTCCAGTGCTTCTTTTGCTTTTATATTCCTCGTCCTCGTCTTTTCGATTCCTGAGTTTGCAATATTATGTTTTATGACCAAATTATTGTAGCGCTCGCCAAGGGTCTTTCACATTTCGAATATTTACCATCGCCGTTACATGATCAGTTTTGTATTTCCATGATTGTCGTGTACAAGGGGGTGGGGACAGATGAGATGATCATGTATAATACCATTGTTACTGTCATACCCCTCTCTTTTCATGTGTTGTGCCCACTTCGTATCACTCCCAACAACCTGTCCAGGAGAAAACGGTTCGAATCAAAGAAACAATCCGGTTGTTGGTGTTTTCTCTAGTCGTAATGGTGGTAGCGGTGGTTATGTTTGATGATCATGAGTCAAGCTACGACAAAAGACGAACCATCTGTGTGTTTGTGTCTATTGTCGTAATCGATTTCGAAAAAGACAAAATAGACGTTTTTCTGTCTTGAAGTTCATTGTTTCGACCAGTATTTTCTTAGATAATGGGTGGTGGAAGTATTCTGTTGTTTTTTCTTGTGTCTTACAACAAAAATCGGACATATTTTTTTACGCTTAGAATTTCGGTATCACTTTTACTACTACCTATTTTATCTGAACTTTACCTCTCACCTGATTCTTATCGAGACAATGTTCAAACGTCATACAGAGAACAATAATCCTCTCTTTGCATAAATGGGCATTCTCTTCCCCCATTTCCCATTTGAATATCCTCTTCTGCAACTCCCAATCCTTCTAGCTGGTACTTTCCCTTGCCTTCATGAAATCACTATCCTCTGCCTATTTTGATTATGATGATTACGATTGTAGTTGTTATTACTAGTGTCTCTTTATATGGTATAGTGACACTTATTGTGTGTACAGAGAAGCCGAAATAAAGGCATTCGTTGATAATTGTGAAGGTATACAACAAGTAGATGATATTCGTCTTTTATTTTCACAGTAATTCAAATACCACATGGGTGAAACAAGTTGAAATGTCAGTTGTTTCTGTGTTACTATTGTTCGTCTCCATTCGATATCCTAAGCAGGGAGACTTCTTCGTTATATATATGGGGTGGGGCTTGGGTAATACTTTGATATTTAAACTTGATTGGTTGCAGATGAGTCAGTAGAGGGGTTTGAAGTTTCTTGAACTATTCAGTGATTTGATCGCATCACATTTCCTGAGTTTCTTGTTTAGCAAGTAGAATCAATCATTAGTCGATTCACATTTCAAGGGGACTTTTGTGGAGTCGCTGGAATCCCTAAGTGTATTTAGCTAACTTGATGAATGTTTAAGTAACCTTGAGGTCCTTGGTTCAGATCCTGCCTTGACTCAGATTTTCACCTTCAGTCATCACTCTCAGATAGTTAAACTGATGAACTAAGCTTGTTGGTCAATTTCATTCCATTCTCTGCTCAGATGCCTTTATAGATACACTTGTACTCAGTTGGAGATCTGAACCTCCTTGCATTGTTACCGAAATTGCTGTTAAACTCTGGTTACAACATTTAGTAATTGTAATTTTAGCCTGAGATTTGTTTTAATCCATTGCATAGTCATTATTGGTTTGGTTGATTTACGACTGTCCTACGTAATTTCGACCAGATAGTCTTCATTCAGGGAGGTGGGTTACACGTGAAGCTTCTCTGTCTTCTAATCACTGCATAATGTTTGTAATTCAAGAATTTAAAGCGAGGAACCAGGTAAAAGTGGTTTACAGTCAATACACAGTTTCCCAGACTGCACATATGTGACATACATCTCGGTGGTAGTTTACTTAACTGTTCTGACTTGATGCTCAGTGTTTGAAACTGAAGAAAGCCAATAACATCGTTGTAATAACAGTAGGACCTGTGATCAACACAATTAGCCGCCTGATTCCTGGAAATATTGAGAATACTTTAGCAACAAAAAGCTTCAGAAGAGTACAACTGCTTGTGATCTGTACCAAGTAGACTAAGGTATTCTTGATACAGTGGAATACAATAGAGTTTACACGGATACTAGTTTGTATTCTGCGGGTAGAGCTAGACATTCTTCTGTTTAAAAGTATTTGTTTACGAGTTGCTAATCAGACGGTCAGGAAAATTCTATATCTTTCTATTCTACTCTATATCTGTGAAACATAGTCATTAAAGGTTACAGACATGAGAAGGCTTCAAGTGTTCGACCATCGCTGCCTTCGTAGCATAAGCCGTGATTCGTGGTTTCGGCATGTGAGTGACGCAGAAGTCAGGTGTAGAGTTTTAGACAGGAGAGGTAAGTGAATTGACACGGTTGTGAACCTTCATCGACTGAGATGGTAGGTTGGGACATGTGTTACGAATGCCTAGCCACCGTCTGCCTGGTCGCACAATGTTGACTAAAGTAGGTTCAGACTGGAAAAAGGCTGGGGTTGGCCAGACTGAAACATGGCATGAATGCATGAAGTTCTTGAGTGTTGGTTTGAGCCATGTGGGGTGAGGTGAGGTGATGCAGACTATGTAGGTGGTTACTGTGGGCGGGAGAAGAGAAACCAGTGGTTGGAGACAGTATGTGATATGACTCAGAACCGATGTCGGTGGCGCAAAAATGTCCAAACGTTGTCTTCATCTTAACGATTACACTGGATTCAGCATTTTCTCATTTTCCCGTCCTCCATTCTACTGCTTTTGACCGAATTTTCTCCCTTTCTTCATCTGGTGGTGGTATAAGGTGTGGTAGCTTGAACCACTGTTTAGAAATTCTTCAAATTGGTGTATGACGATTATAGTGTAGAATGGTGCGCGAACAAAGCTTCATTACATTGCACAGGATTGACGTGTAATATTTTGAATCAAGTGCTTAGAGACATTGAGCAATGATTCACTTTTCTGTTCATTGACACTGCTAATCCGCTGTCTTGATGAAACTCTCTCTGAGACTTGATACAATCGCGTTCAAAGCTTCAAACGTGAATAATTAGTGTTGACTAGTCTGCCAATAACTGAATACTGTAGGTGAAGTGGTCATTAGAAGTGAATCAACAATATTGATTCTTCGAAGAGGCACATTTACTGGTCACTACAGAGTAACCAGTTTCATGTTGTCTGGTCTTGAGTGCTGTCTGAATTCTACCGATCATTTTGCAATATGTCCATCAGACTAGGAGTCTCACCGTCATGGTGTACTCTGCTGGATGTTAGTTGGTTAGAGGCAATCAGCAGGAACCCCTGGACCTAAGTATCGTGATTGTTGGCACTCGTCGAAAACAGGTCAGCAAAGAAAACTGGAACTCAGGCTTTAACATTACGATTGATTTATTTTCTCCACAGCATTTTTATACACCCATTTCCCTTAGGATTCGGTTATTTATTGGGATGGTGTTGCTTTGCTCAAAAGCCATCAGAAGCTGTTTTAGGCGATGCCATCGACGAAGCTGTACAATCTCAATTGAACGCAACCTTACTTCGCTAGGACATTACATAACATTGGCAAATACTTGGATAGCATAAGAACAGGCATGAATTGATGATATATACGGACTGGACAGACTAGAAGGAGGGTTGGCCTGAAATACCGAAGATTACGATTAAGAAAGGAGAAGGGGTTGAACAAGTCGCTTATATGTAAACCTTTGGATTTTTTATGCGAATAGCAGTACTAATGGGGTGGGTACGTACCACCCTTGAAAAGCCAATTTTACCCTGTAGATATGACTCTCAAAGATGAGGCTTGTCGAAACTGTCTGTAGGCATTGAATCGATATTCATTTGTTGCACTCATGACGCATAGGTTGACAGCTCTCCGCAACCGCGTGGTGCAGTTGAACCAGTGTAGACGGGACTCGCGTTGATTGACTCATACACTCAGCGTAAGATGAGTAGGTGAACGGGCCAGAGGTAAGATCTTATAACTCAGATTGTCAGAAGAGTAGTCTTCACTTCTTCGTAGAGGATTTGGAATCTTTCTGTTTAGACAGGCTATATTATCTTTCAATTCAAGGTTCATATACAAAATGTTTTTGGATAGATTAGTGGGAGAAATCTTTCAGGCATTTGAGCATAGTGTTTTTGAGGATGAAGCGAGTTAGTTATCCACTTTTGATTTGGATTTTTCTGAGAATTTTCATTTGATCAATTCTGTGGACTTGTTGGAAGAGATATAACTATGTTTCTTTAGTGACTGATAGGCACCGAACTGTAGGATCTCATCAGGTGATCATTCCATCTAGGCTTCCTATAAACTGATATTGTTAGTGTTTCATTAGTTTCCCTTGTTAACTCGACGCCAAGAAACTGTGTTTGTGTGTATTCGTAAAATTGCATGACGATAGACAACGACATGCACGGCTACCACCACATATCCGCGTCATTCTTTGTTGGACCAGGTGTCCGTTATCTGCGTTGATACGATAAATCTCTGTTTCGGATAAATCTAAGGTTTATTGTCAATGATGTTATTTGGTCAATTAGGAGGTTTCTTTTCTACTGCCTGCGTTATGATATGAGTGTCATATTCGTGTGTGGTGAGGGCATCAGCGAAAGGCATAGTTTTTTCCTGCATGGGATAGGCTATTGCTGCGCGTCTATCGATGTCGATATTATCGTCGTCAAATTTGAGAACTTGTCGAATCGTTGATGACAGCCGTTGTAACCATACCTCATACGAAAGTATTTTATCTATCTTTCAACCTGCAATGTCTACATACGTCTTAAGAGTTGTGAGGGTGTTTTGTCTCCCAGTTCTACTTTGTCTATCAGGCAGTGAATTACGTTGGGTGACTGGGTACTCAAGACTATCTCATGGAGTTTCGGTACCTGGTTGTACAATGTGCTGCCATCATCATCATTATCAACATAGGACCAGGCATTACTGCGTAACGGTCCGAGTTGTCACACCTCATATCCGCACATCAGGTAAAAAGGTAGTGAGGTGATGGTTGAAGATAAGTGAAAGCAGTCAAAAGAAATATAAAGTACGAGAAGAAAGGAAAGAGGAGTGACAAAATGGTGAGATTCGGTATAGCGTTGTTAAGATAACGATAATGTGTGTATACATCTGCGCCACTGACATCGGTTCTCAGCCATATCACCTACAGTCTCCAACCACTGGTTCCTCTTGTCCCGCCGACCCCAACCACCTAGTCTGCATCGTCCTACATGGCTTAAACCAACAGTCAGAGACTTCATACATTGGTGTCATGTTTTAGTCTGGCCATCTCGGGCCTTTTTCCAGCCTGAACCCACCTCAGCCAACATTGTGTGATGAGACAATCGGTGACTAGGCATACGTAGTACGTGTCCCAACCATCTCAATCGATGAAGGTTCACAACCTCGTCGACTGACTTACCCCTTCTCCCCAAAACTCTACACCTGACTTCTGCATTACTCACATGGTGACACCACGGAATACGTCCTATACTACGAAGGTAACAGTGGTCAAACACCTGAAGCCTTTTTGTATCCTCCACTTTCAATGGCCATGTTTCACAGCCATACAGCAGAACAGAGCGGACTGCTGTGCAGTACACGCGACCCTTAATAGACAAATGAATATCACGGCGGCGCCACAGGTGGCTTAAATTGGCAAAAGCCAATCGAGCCTTTTGTATCTGTGCAGAAATCTCATCGGCAACTGGCGTACTCGATCTGCACTATCGTCTAATATTATGGTGTTAAGAAGACAAAAGTTCGCGTTCTGTGAGTTGATCTTTTTCCCAATGAGGTAGTTCCCTAATTTGGCAAATAATTGAGGATCTCTAGGAGAGAAAAATGAAACATTAAGGGAGACGGCCCAGACGAATACCGGTTCAAAAGAATTATCAAGATACAGCAAGTTTGTTTGGAATGACAGTTTGTAGGAAATCATTCTGAAATATATGATACATAGTCCATGTACGGGACTCCCCAGTAGTTGGCAGTTGTCAGAAAGTCGTATCTGCAACCTCGACGGGGTTGATGTCTTATTTGAGATTCGAACCTGCGTCACACTGTGCTGCATTCAGAGATATTCCCACTTGGTTATTCG